AAACTGGATGAGACATGGGCCAAATCGTATGAGGCACAAATGAAACGCCAATCAAATGAATGGCGTCATTACGGGTCACCATGAAAATCAAAAGTTAGTCAGAACCCCAGCAATGTGGAAGTCATGGTGATTCTCATGTACAACTGTGATGGTGTTATCCTAATGCATACCGTTCCCCGAAAGCAGACCATCAGTTTGCAGTATTACTGTTAATTTTTGGAACACAACCTGCGACCAGCTTTGAGAAAGAAGCGGCGACACTTTCCATAGAACCCACCCATCATTTTGCAGGACACTGCTCAGCCACATGCAGTGCAAGCTGTGGCTGATCTGTTTGATCGATGGGACTGAGAAGTGCTGTACCATCCACCATACTCCCCGGACTTATGCCCTTGTGACTTCGACCTGATTCCTAAGATGAAGGAACCACTATGTGGCATTCGCTTCAGAACTGTTCCAGAGACTCTTAAGGCAGTAGACCGCTCCATTCGAACTATCAACATGACAGGAGCTGCTAAAGGTATCCTATGACTTCCACATTGCTGGCAACAGGTTGTACACAATGCTGGTGACTACACTGAAGAACAGCAAAACTTCGAAACATGCATCTTATTTTTTTTTCAGCTGTAAATAAAAAGTTGCCACTATTAAAGTTCCAACCCTCACATATTGCTGTGTTATTTATCACTCTAAAACATTTTTTCATGCAAGGAAACAAATTCTTATCCTTTTTTACAGTACCCCATCCTACAAATCAGTACACATTTAAAGGTGAATCAATACAGCAAAAGTGCAGCACGAAAGGGAGTGTGGGGTGGGCCAATTGTAGGCTACTTCCATTTGGGTCATTCAGTACAGAGCTGAAATGACAAGTTTTGCCAAGTGACCCATGAAATATGGCAAAAGTAGAACTAGCTCTTCATCTCCTGCATCACTATCATATACTGTACACAACTCTCCTCCCTTGTTTATGCATCACCTATTTAGTGTGTTTCAAATCACTGATTTCCCTTTGTCACATGTTAAAAAAAATTACAACACTGCACTGAACTACACAGGCCACAAATGTCTCACATCACTGCCAAGCAACAACTAGGGGTGTCAGCTGAAGGATACCCACAAACCCCTATACATTTACATTTATTTTTCACTTCATGGACCCAATCATATCCCCATAGGGCTGGATATAAAACATGTCACATATTACAAATTCATGATGACTATACATCATTCATCCTTGGTCCAATAAAATATATAATCAGGCCTCACACAGATAGCTCAAGGTGTCAGAACAACACACATAGGTCGTGGAAAAACCACCGTCAAATTCACGCCTTGCCATTCCACACACATTGGCAAGCTGTATCATTAAAACAGTTACATTATAAAATATTAAAATTCATAACAAAAACAGACATCATACATACTACTAAACTTACAGCAAGTAAGTCTCAACAATGTATAATTCACGCACACACACCCCATTTATTAACTCGTTAACTTTTGAGCCCCTTGCATGCTTGACAAATTCATTGATAGAGTAAACTGCATTACTTCGCAAATAATTTTGTAAAACAAACCTAAATTGTTTTTTATCACTTTTTAAAACTGTGATATTTGATGGCAGAGCATTAAATAGCTTGACACCTGAATAATACACCTCTCTCTGATAGGATGATAAATGTGTTGTAGGTATATGAAGGTGGTCATTCCTTCTGGTACCAGTCATATACACAGAGTTATTGGTTTGAAACTTATCCAAATTATTAACAGCAAATCTCATCAGTGAGAGCAAATATACACATGGGATTGGTAGTGTCAAGCTTTTTAAATAAATCTCTACATGTATGAGTTGGGCCCACTCCCATCATTATTCTTATTATTTTCTTTTGTATAACAAAGACCTTATGACTGTCTGATGTATTTCCCCAATATATTATTCCATATTTCACCAATGAATGATAATGTGCATAATATACAGCTTTAAGACTATTATATTTAACATACAGGATAATTTTCGCATTAGAAAACAAACTGTGCTCAACTTGTGAAGCATAAAATCGACATACGTCAGATGACTGTCCAGCTGCAAACTGAGAAATTTGATCATTTCTACTGCTTTCAGCTTTTTGTTAAAAAACAATGTATATGGAGGGTATCTCGTAGCTGCTGTTGGGATGAATTTTATCATTTTTTGTTTTATCCAGATTTAACACTAACTGATTATTTTGAAACCACATAAACATGTGATTAAAAACAACATCCAATTTTATTTTTAAATTATAGTAGTCTTCAGCTGTGCAAAGAATACTTGCGTTATCTGCAAACATAATCACTTCCGAAATTTTACTTATTTCAAGGGGGAAATCGCTTATGTATATATTAAAGTGTAAGGGTCCCAACACCAATCCCTAAGGCACACCACATCCAACAATTTCCCACTTAGAATAATATTTATTATTTATATAATTTAATTCCACTCTTTGCCTCCTATGTAAGAGGTAAGATTTAAACCATTGCAATAATACACCCTGCACTCCATAGCGCTGTAGTTTCATTAATAGATCATGATTAATGCAGCCAAAGGCCTTGGATATGTCACAAAATATACCAGTTACATACTCTTTTCTATTACAAGCTGTAAGTATTACATTGGTTAATTTAAACACTGCATCTTCAGTTGATAATCCCTTTTGGAATCCATACTGCTCTGAAAGTAATATTTGTTTTACGATATGATCACTGAGTCTTCTAAAAATTGTTGTTTCAAAAACTTTTGCAAACCCAGTTACTACAGATATTGGCCTGTAGTTACTTATAACAGCCTTTTAGCCTTTTTTTGTATACTGGCTTAATAATTCCTTCCATCAGGAGGTAAGTATACCAGCTGTTATCCAGCCATTATCCTCGAGTTTATTTGTTACATTTTGCTTTGGAAAGCATGACTCATAGTCGAGTAAATACTTATTTAAAAATGAGTTGAACATTTCATTTACATCATTAAGTTTATATATAGTTTTACATTTCTCATTAGATAGATTTTTAAGAAACTGAGCAATTGAGTCCTCATTTACTAATCTTCTTGCGATTCTCTGCACTTTTTTCTTCTACATTTCACTGCAAAGGTGAAGCTTCATAAGAAAAGGAAAAGTGGTTGAGAGAAGTAAAATCTCTGTCCCACGTGTCCTACTAACTCTTGTTCCTACATATAATTTCTTAGCCAAGACAGCCACATCAAACCAGCAGCCTATCACTAATGTCATAACAGCATGAATGTTGTGCCTAGCAGGAAAGCTGTCGCACTGGCAATCATTTAATCCAGTTTGCATTCGTAATAGTAAGAGAAAACCAGTCAGCAACAGTTCAGAAGTTCCTTCACTCTCTGTAGAAAGTCTCTATTAACTCTATTAATATGAGTTATTTCATCGATGTAAGAGATCAACTACAGATCAGATCTTTTGCATTCGTCAGATATTGGAGAAAAAATGGGAGTACAATGAGACAGTACATCAGCTATTCATAGACTTCAAGAAAGTCTATGATTCAGTTAGGATGGGAGTATTGTATAATATTCTGATAGTTTGGGATACCCATGAAACTAGTTAAGCTGATTAAAATGTGTTTAAACGAAACTTATGGTAAAGTCCGTATAAGTAAACATTTGTATGATAAATTTCCTATCCAGAATGGTCTAGGACAAGGAGATGTTTTATCGCCACTACTTTTCAACTTTGCTTTAGAATATGCCATTAGGAAGGCCCAGGAAAACCAGGTGGGGCTGAAATTAAATGGGACACATCAGCTGCTGGGTCAATGGCGATGATGTGAATCTACTGGGTGATAATATAGATACCATAAAGAAAAACACACAAACTTTAATTGACACAAGTACAGAGGTTGGTCTAGAAGTAAACATGGAGAAAACTAAGTATATGTTGCACTCTCATCACCAAAATACAGGGCAAAATCATGACATAAATATAGCTAACAGATGTTTTGAAAATGTGGCACAGTTCAGATATTTAGGAACAACAATAACAGATTGAAACCTGATTCAGGAAGAAATTAAGAGGAGATTGAAATTGGGTAATGCTTGCTACCATTCAGTCCAGAACCTTTTGTCTTCTTGTCTGCTGTCGAAAAACTTAAAAATTAGATGATACAAAACTATAATTTTGTCCATGGTTCTGTGTGGGTGTGAAACTTGGTGTCTGATATTAAGGGAGGTACATAGACTGAGGGTGTTGAGGAGAATATTTGGACCAAAGTGGGATGAGGTGAGAGGAGGCTGGAGAAAACAGCATAACGAGGAGCTTCCTAACTTGTACTCTTCTCCAAGTATAATTAGAACGATCAAGTGAAGGAGGATAAGGTGGGCAGGGCATGTAGCACGAATGGGGAGAAGAGGTATCCATATAGGATCTTGGTGGTGAAGCCAGAAGGAAAGAGACCACTGGGAAGACCAAGGTGTAGGTGGATGAACATTAAAATGGATCTTAGAGGGAGAGGATGGGATGGTATTGATTGGATTGATCTGGATCACGATAGGGACCAGTGGAGGACTCTTGTAAACACGGTAATGAACCTTCAGGTTCCATGAAATGCTGGGAAATTCTTGGGTAGCTACAGATTTGGATTCTCCTCATGAAGGGCTCAGCTCCATACGTATTTCATAATGTACTATATCCTGTTCCAAGAAACAGCGTAATTGATATTCCTGATTTATACAGCTATATTCAGTTAATATTATATCCATTTTCGTATGAGGCTCCCTTGTTCTAAAAAAATTTAAATGAGCCAGGAAAATGTTATTCATTAAAACTTATTACCGTCTACATAAACAAGACTATCTACTTGCGTTTGTAACTTATATACACCAATTTAAACATCTGGCTCCACAGTAGACCCTTGATAACAGGCATGTTTAATACCACACAGACGTTACATATGTTTCCATGGAATTCATTGTAACAGTTTCGATTTTTAAATCTCGAACTTACAATGGCCGGAGCAGCGGATGACGGATGAAACGATCGTGTACATACTACGGGGAGACTTTGAGAAACCTGCAAGTAAGAAGCTGATGTAAAATAATCATGTAGCACTATGCCACAACGGAAGGCAGCAAGAATTTCACAGTAACCTTCTACAATATAGAACTCGCAATCTTAATATTGGCTCGTAACATTACTATCTTTACTACTCTTCTGGTTAAATTAATATTCTTATCGTGCCAATAAACATACTCGAAAAAGTGTTTTACAGAACTGTCCATTACATAACGCCATTCTACGAACGTAGCTACACAACATCGACCGTATCGACTGGTGTCGACAAGACTGGACAAGACGGACAAAACGGTTCTGTAATTGGGTCACACAAATGCGATAGCTGAATTGTGATTGGTTTACACACATGCGATTCGTATATTGCCATAGGTGTATTGTGAGTGGATCTATCTAGTTCCTATTGTCTGCTTATAGATGGCAGCCAGGACTTCTCTGTGCACCATGACCCATTAAAATGGGCGGGGGGAACAATCCGGTTCAAACATTGGGGAAAAGAATGCAAAATTGAATTTTTTTTCCGGTTTTACTGGACCCCGGGGCACTGCGGAGTTGAAGTTAATGAGAGGGCCAACTTGGAGGCAAAGCAAGCAATCAAAGAAGGCAGAGGTAGTCAATTACTATTACCAGTGGCAGATCTAAAAAACCAATGAAAAAAGGGCAACAATGATGGACATCCTTTCTTAGAACAGCAAAAATAATACCCAAAGTCGGTTACAGAGCTCTTAAAGCTAGAAGAGAAAAGATTTCTGGAAGGCATCTGTTAATTCTTAAACAACATTCCTATATTTATATAAAATAGATGTGTAAGAAAAATAAAGGAATTGTACTGATTATTAACAGTATACTCTCAGATTTAAGTTAAGACATATATTAAGAATTAAAGAGTAAATTCAATCATAACAGATGAGGATAGATAATGCACATTATTCGCATCCATGGTATTCCCCGTGGATGGTACATCAGCAGGTGAGGTAGGTGTCATATGAGAAGATACAATTATTGACTTCTTGGATATTATCCACCCTCCTGTTTATTTAAAAACATTTCGGAGAGTGAACTCGTGTGTCCATCCTCATCGTCCTCAATCAATAGAGCTAGTCCCTAACTCCGGATGATTCAAGTGAAAACTCGGGTCATGATTCTCGGATAACTTAATGTTGCCTTACACTGCATCCAAACTTGCCTAAAGAATGCGAATGAATGAACTGGCCAAGTGCATGCTGTGAATCGGTAGCGAACAATGAACGCATGTGTTCACTTGTGCTTGGTTTGGCTGGCAGACCGGTACATCATAGCGAATTCGTGTTTATGTATGAAAGGGGATAAATCACATTTGCCATCCTGCACTGGTATGTAATTTGACAACATACATGACAAACAAAACCGAACGTTAAGAGACAAAAATTCTCAATGAAATGCATAGGATACACAGACCAAGACTGGCACGCGAAAGAACATTCGTTCGTTCACAACAGTTCATGAAATGTGTACTCACCTTCAGGTACACCAAACCCGAAATACCAATGACCAATCCCTATCACTTATACCAACCACTTTCATTTCTTTGTGTTCTCCTTGTTAATGATGGTATCTCATATGTTAGATCACTGAAATCTATTGAGCTTTAGAAAAGGGTTGTCACATAGATGCCCGAAAAGTTTTTCTAAATTTTACACTCAGGTGCTGCAATTTTCATATCCACCAAGCATGGTTACAAAAATCACGTCTCTCTCGTGTGTGTGTGGAGGGTCTGAATCCCAACATGGTTGAACATGGTTCTCATGGCTCTCTGACCACACTTCATTGCTGTGATATTGTATTTTGATAATGGCTTTCTATATATGTAATTAAAATGTCACATTATTTTTCATTTTGTCCACTATTACTACCATTTATTTTATTTGCACAAACGATTCATGCCTGAAGTAAGATTTCTTGCAGGGAAGACACATTTTCGTGCACCCCACCTGTTTTCGCTCACATGACAGTCATGTGCTTCTGCCGTTACTAAGTTTGCATTTTTCCATCCATATTAGGTTACTGCAGAGGTTAGAATGAAATCTGGACGTGTCATGGTATTCTCGCTAACCCTCGAGAATGTTAAGGAGAGTGTCAAATTGATTCATAAGAATACTGAGGTAAATGGAACTTAAATTGTGAATTCAGTGTTAATCCCTTCCTTGAATTGTCTCCCTCAAATATTCACTGGCCTTGGTACATATAAGGAAGGCTGAGAGCTACTCATAAATTCTAGACAAAATATTGCCCTACAGTCCCTTCAGCCTCAAGGGAGATTCTGGTCAATGGCTCTTTAGGACCACTCACAATCGCAGGCTGGGGTCATGGCCAAGATCCTGATGATATATTGAGGTGGATGAAGGACATCAACCCAGGGCTTAGCACAGAGCACTGGAGGGTTCTAGACAGGATACCTGAGGCAAAAGCCCAGAGGCTTCTCCACCTTATACACTGGGCTTCCTTTACAACCATCAAGTAATCGGCTACAAGATATTCACATGACTCATTCAGGAAGTCATTATGATCATGACTGATCGTCAAGCAGGGCCCAAATATGAAGAAGAGGCCTCAATGTGTCCAGCATCCCTAGGATCTGATGTTGAGGAGGGTGGGACTACAACAGCTACTCCCCTCCTTCTCCTCCTGAGTCCCAGGTCACTCGAAGGAAGAGTAAGGAGGAAGGCAAAAGAAGAAACTGACACCATGGATTTCATTCAAATTAATCCACATCACAGTAAGTCAGCTACAGCTGTCTTATGCCAGTAACTTGCCATGGGAATGGCAGATGTTACTCTGGAAGCTTGGATTTATGGGGGCCAAATAAGAGGCTTAACCAGCTGAGGAGGAACAATTTTTCTGTTCTGTTCTCTGTGTGGAATTACCTTTTCATTCAGCCATGATACCATGGTTCTTTTCTCTGCCTTCAGTGTTGGAGGTGATATCGATCTGAAGATTGTAGTAGAGAGCACTGTATATTACAAAATATTGTGCAGATGTAGATTAGGAAACAGCCTGTTAACCACTTCTGAAATTTCTGTAATTTGTGTCACTGTGATAATCTACTGTAGTTTTACAGGATTTAAAACATATGTATGCATTAGGAATAAAACCTTTGTCACTATCAGCATGTACTATAATCAGCTGTCATCCTTCAGAAAATAGGAGTAAGCAGGCCACTAAATTTCATCACGTCACAGTTATGGATGTATTTTCAATCCATAAACATTATGGGTCTGCCTTACTTTCTGTACTTCACTATCGATTCTTCTTCTCTTTTTTTTCGCCTGCCTGGAACCTAAGTCATTAGCATTTTTCTTCAATTTGAGAGGGACCCTGTAAACATGATTGATTGGTTCAACTTTGGATCTGATCTGTTCTGATCTTTGCTTGTTGGTGACAGAGCTCATTAAGTCACACAAATAACACACACACACACACACATATATATATATAGATATATATATATATATATAAAAGTTGTCTGGCATTCATTTGGAGATGATACAAGTCTTCATGAACAACTGTGAATTAGGCCAATATACTGGATTCCATGATTTTCATTCCATTCACTATTCTTGTACTGATACTTTCCTTCTCTGTATTCTTTTCTGTATTTCTTTGAGGTTTGTGAGAAATTCTGCATCAGCCTTCTTTCCATAAATTTACATACACTGGCCACAACTTCTCACTTTTGGCTATGAATTTACTTTGAATAGGTGACATCCTTAAAGCAACCCATGTTTTTCTGTATAAAATCCACAGGGTCAGCAACACAACACAACCTTATGTGTTCACAGCTGCAACATAATTAACTCAGACACCATTCTGCAAAGCAATATCAGAATATGAACTCCCAAAAATCCATGGCCCATTCATAACCAACGGACTGCGAAGAGTAAATGGGACAATCAGTGACACAATAGAGAAAATGATTTATATATGTTTAAAACTGAAATAGACACAAGTTCTATTCTAATTTATCGTGTTTCAATGAACCAGTCCACAAAATCCTGCATTTCTTATATACAATTACAATGTGAATTATAATTCAAATATTTTTAAACTAGACTAATTAATTCCAAGCTAAATTTGCATCACCCGTCATACAATGAATATAAACTCATTATGAGCGGGAGGAAGGTGTTCAAATGCACATGAAAGTGTTCTCACCTCGTATCAGTCACCTTAAATATGCTCATGATCACAAATATATCATTTGTAAGATTTTAGTTTTTCACGGCGGTGACTATGAAGAAAGCAGTCTTCTGGGATGTGACACCATGTAGATGTGATGTTAACCGACGTTTCGTTGAAACATATCGCCTCCATCTTCAGGGTAGAAGGAAAAATAAAAAAATCCGCAAGTGAAGAGACAGTGAGAACAGGTGCAAGCAGACTAATGTTGGAAATAAACTCAGCTATATGAGAGCAGGGAAGGAAGGGGACAAGTCTACATGGGAAATCAGTGGGATATTGTGTTAAGGGAGAAAGGCAAGGTTAATGGGAGGGCATTAACCCTTAAGCTGGGGGGGGGGTTGCTATGTGAGTCCGTCATGGACTGTGTGGCTTTGTGAATCTGGCATCATGTCCCGGGGGGGGGGGTTAGGGAACAGATGAGAGGCTTCCATGACTTGCTGAGACAAAACCCCCCCTCTCTGTTCATATTGTCGGGATGGAGTTCAATCTCAATGGCTTCCCTACTGATGCGATCCATATATCGGGTCTTGGTGGTGAGGATAGAGGTATTCTGAAGCTGAATGCAGTGTCCCAAATCGATGCTGTGTTCAGCTACAGCTGACTTGTCCAATTGTTCAAGACAAATCTGCCTCTGATGCTCCTTCAACCTCATGCCTAGGGAGTGGCCCATCTGCCCAATATAGACCTTGCAGCACTTGCATGGGATATTGTATACACCCTGTGTCCTTAGTCCCAGGCTCTCTTTGACCGGCCAGAGGAAACTGGATAATTTGTTTGGAGGCAGACCCACTGATTTGATGTTGTGCCAGAACAGCACTCTGCTGATATGGTTGAATATAGTCCTGACACAGGGCAAGAAGGCGACTGAGCCCAGTTTATCTTCAGGCCACCTGATGTTCGGCCAACGGTTGAGAACTCTGTGGATCTGCCGGTTGTTGTATCCGTTCTTCCTGCGTAATTCCCCCAGGAGCACCAACTCTGTATGTAAGCTGTCTTGATCACAAAGTGCTCTCTAGCTCTGTGCACCAATGTGGAAAGTGCAGCTTGCTTGTTGGAAGGGTGGTGGTGGGACTCAGCATTAAGGTAGAGGTTTGTATGGGTGGATTTGTGGTACACTCTATGGCCCAGACAACCATCGGGTCTCCTGTAAATATCTATATCCAGGAAGGGGAGGTGGCCCTCAGTTTCAGTCTCCATTGTGAACTGAATGCACTGGTGGATACTGTTTAGGGTGATTCAGGAAGTCCTTATGCTTGTTGGGCCCATGTGGCCAGATGACGAAGATGTCATCCACGTAGCGAAAAGTGTGGGGCAAAGTCAAGTGCCCTCTCCTCGAAGTCCTCCATATATAGGTTAGAGATGACCGGAGAGAGTGGCGAGCCCATCGCCACACCATCGGTTTGTTCATAGAACTGGCCATTGAAGTTGACGTATGAGGTGGTCAGGACATGGCGGAAGAGTCTCAAGATATCTTCTTTGAAATGTCATCCTAGTAGATCCATTGTATCCTTTATAAGCACCCTGCTGAAGAGTGACACTACATTGAAACTGACCATTATGTCGTGGGGATCAACATAGAGAGCCCAATGTGTGGACAAATTCCATGGAGTTACTCACATGGTGTGGACAGTTGCCAGTGTATGTGCTCAGTAGGCCAGCCAAGTGTTTGGCCAGGCGATAGGTAGGAGAGCCAATAGTGCTCACAATATGCCTTAGTGGAGCATCAGGCTTGTGGATCTTTGGCAACCCATAGTCTAGGTGGCCTGGAACCTTGAGGTTGTAGCTGTTGACAGACCTCCTCAGCAATCGAGGACTTTTTCAGTAGAACAGTCTTGTGCTCTATAGCATCAGTAGGGTCCTTCTTCAACTTCTTGCAGGCCTTGTCCTCCAAGAGAGCGGTGATCTTTTGGTTGTAGTCTGACGTATCCAGTACCATGGCTGCATTACACTTATCAGCTGGAAGGACGGTGAGTGCCTCGTTGGCTTTTAAGGACCAAAGGGCTCTCCTCTCGGCACCAGTCAGGCTGTCCTTGGATTTGTGGGAGCTTTTGACAATTCTGACCGTCTCCTGTTGGATCTCCTCCGCAGTCTCTACAGGCAGGGCCACTATCAGCTTCTCCACCCCACATAGGATATCCTTGACGGGAACTGATTTCCCATGTAGACTTGTCCCTTCCTTTCCTGCTCTCATATAACTGAGTTTGTTTCCAACATTAGTCTGCTTGCACCTCTTCTCACTGTCTCTTCGCTTGCAGATTTTCTTATTTTTCCTTCTACCCTGAAGATGGAGGCGATACGTTCCTCCGAAACATCGGTTAACACCACATCTACACAGTGCTACATCCCAGAAGACTGCTTTCTTCAATATACCACTTGCTCAATGATTCAAACAATGTATATTCTCCGGCTCATAAATAGACTTTGCTCATCACTAGGAGAGTTGCAGACAACAGAACTAAGAATAACAAGCTTAGTTATGATTCTAATATAATTTTAAAACATCATTTATACTGCAGAGGTTACAATACACCATCCAATGAGATGGTAAGGTGATCATCGATATTAAGTGAATAAGGTTTCAGAAGAAGGTAACCATGAAGAACCTGTTAGGATACCTTGTAGCCTTGCAAATATTTGAAATATAAATTCCTGAGTACAAGCCTAGAGTGGTACCACAGTACAAATAGCTGAACTGTATTTTTATGAAAATGATGTACGGTAAGTAAAGATATACTCATGCATCTCACAATAAGGGCAGTAGAACTGGCAGTAATACATATTCTTGATGAATGGATTATGTTCAAACCACTTTACCTCTAAACAGAACTCCTGGGCCAGCCCCAGCTCTTCAGAAGATGAGGAAGATAAACCTCAGCATCTGCACTAAAATTTGAACCCAGGTTTGTGGAAAGACCTGGGTTGGAATTTGCATGGTGTGAAGGTTAATGTAAAATATGAAGGGGGATACTGTCTACAGATAGAAGCTTCTTGGGACACAGCACAGAGCTAGGAAAGCAGATATTTTGATTCCTACAACAGTGGAACAAAATACATCTTGGTTATGTTTTATGTTTTTGAAACAATGACGAGAAGTTTTGTCATCCAGTTTACAAACTTACAACAGTTAAATATATTAATCTGTCTGCTAGTCATACTGCAATGTAGAGCATATCATAAATAACTTACAGTGTGGCTATAGCATATGGGATTATCTTTTCAAAATTCTGTGCCTTTATTTTATCAAGTTTCCTTATGTTCAATGAACATTAGCATATTTCTGCAATGTTATGCAACCACTATTTTGGAATTTCTCTCCTTGGTGCCACAAACTACTGATAGCATGATTCGAGTTACTGCAGCCTTCTGAACTTATTCTCACAAACTTCACAGTGTGACTGTATCATGGCATTATCCCAATTTCAAATGTTTGTATTTTTACCTAACACCTTACCATTTATAATAAATGTAATCAGTGGTAAGCTGCCATGTTTTTAATCTCCCTCCTTGTGAAATCAATTTCTGGTAACATATATTTCTATGAATTCTGACAGTCTGTTGATGAACTTATTCTGAGACTCATAAGAAACACTGAAAAGTGGGAAATATCATTTCCAGAGCACCACAAATAACAGTTTTATGTTACTTTTATTGTCAGTATCTGTTTTTTCCTACAATACTATTTTTGAAGTACACAACAGACATGACTTTCTGACAAATCACATTCTTGACAAGAAATTCTATGAAATAATTCAGCAATAACTAGGAAGGAACATTTTCTTTTATCAAGAAAACAGAAGTTCCACAGAAATAAAAATCATCTGCACACTACCCCCTTGCATTCACAGCAGTCCTGGCTGTCATGGCTGAAGGCGTAGACTTGTTTTTGATCCTCTTTATTATTTTATCTCACAGAATGAGGAGTCTATTCTCTATCAAAAGGTACTGGTCTTTCCACAGTTTGTGTATGACCATCAACAATTTATATTAATTCAAAAGGTTTTAACATTTGTGTTCATTACATCTCAGGGATCTATGCACATGGCAGTTCATTCCACATCTAATTGCTACACACAAAATATAAAGTATTAATATGTGTCTTAAACAGTACCCCAAAAGTGCTTTATTGGGATTCTTTATTTATAAGACCATACAGTGGTCATCATTCTGTATAACAATTAATAACCCATTTACTCTATGTATGAATACTTGGCAAATCACTAACACTGTCTTTAATTTGTTTCTGCACAAACTTATAAAAAATATGCATTCTTACTACTACATACCAACTGTCATCATTTCAATGAACACTACAGACGTATCCTCTTCCATTGGACAACACTTTAATATGCAATACAGACATACAGAGAATAAAGAATCATAAATATCAGAGGAAGCAATAGAACTTTTGAAATGACAAAACTCATTCAATCTTTCAGAGGCTCACATGTGAGAAGCAATATATCCTTTACAATATAACAAAGAATATTACAATAGGCCTATGATATTTATACATAGCCATGTATGTTTTAACTTATCAATTCTGAGTAAACCAAAACGAATCACACAGTTTGGCCTACCTAGTCACATATTTCTTACAACTGTAGCACACTAAATTCCAAACATATCAAGTAGTCAATTCTCATACTTTTGTATGTACACTGTAACTCGCTCATTAACATAAGATATTCACTAAATACCCCATATATGTACCTTCATAAGTCTAAATGGTGTAATAAAAATGAATTCCTACATTATAAAGCCTTTCTAGACACTGACACAAACCGTTAGTAGTTACTCTGTGATCATAAAATAAAAGGAAAAGCTCTGTGGACATCCTCTTTCACATCATTTGGTGAACAAAGAAGAAATAATGTCATATGCAAAGTTTTGACCTATGAGTGTGATGATAAACCAGTTAATGGCAATAACTATGGAACATACAATGGCAGACAGAAACATGCCAAGAGTTTGGGTTTCAAGAGTGCACTTCAAAGTTCATTCCAAAGATTTAAAATACTTACTTTGATAACAGACGTGTTCTATCTGATTTGGATGTATGTAAAAAAAGAAACACATCACATGTGGGTAACATCCATGATTTGGCATAAGAATAAAAATAAATCCATCCACATACTATATACAGTTTATGTTCAAATTATATAACAGAGCATTCAAATTACTAGGTATCCAGTTCTTATGGATGACAACCTACTAATGTTAACAAACGATAAGCTTGGCAGGTGATCTTTTCTTCACACTTATTCTTAATATACCAACTATAGTTTTAGAGTTGAACATGCAGCAACTTAATGACAGCTACAAACTGCAGCTAATATGAATTATGTCTAGGAAAACCTTTCTGTTATTCACATCAACACTGTTTTCTTAACATTCTATCTCTTCCTTCCACATTTTTCACAGTCTGTTAACAAACAATTCATTTCCTATTGGATCCATTTTCCATCCTTCCATTTCTCAACCACTATTTTCAAACTGTTTTAAATATAAAAGGGGAAAAACGTGGTGTTAAAAAGTTCCATCTGTTCATGATTTCCTTTAACATTGACTATGAAATGTTTAAATGTTGAGCTTCCACGCATGCATTCTTTTTTTTCTTTTTGCTTTGTTCTTGACCACAAGAATACAGCAATACCAGTATGCATCATGCACACACACAGTTACACACATACTCACTTGTACACAATTTTTATGAACAGTCTATCAACCAAACAAGAGATTAGTCACTTCTTCTCTTCTCCCTCTACCTCCAACACATCAAAACTTCTTGCTTTCAAATTATGCTTGCTACATTTTAATCTCTGAAACAATCTTTAAAATTCAATTCCATGGGAGGTTACTCTCTCACCCCGAAGATATATGAATTACCCACTTGTTGGTATGCAGGCACCAAATCTGCAGCCCATTTTCCTTCCATCTTTGTCATGTTTAATTCCCAGAACACTGAATTCTACTGTGTACATTAACATCCACCTGAAACAAGAGAGAAACTGAGTGAACAATGTCAAATGTCAAAGAAACATCAGTTAATACTGGAATATTGCAGATTATCACTGCAACAATATACAATTACGTTGACATGGCAAATTAATAAGAATGAGGCAGGTGGAAGGTAAAGCTAACTCTGGACCTAAAGATACGTTCACAAGCTCCACACTATTCTAGTCTCAATCACGTTCTCTAACCAGTTTTATATTAAACATCTGCAAAGTACAGAACAAGAGTTAGCAAGTAGCTTCTGCCAACTCCCTCAAATTTCTGTGAAATATGACTGATTAATCCAACAGTATATTTATTATGTAACACAAAGTCTGCAGAATTTCTGAATAATTTCATATAGGGTAAGTAAATATGTAAATTAACTTATTCAGTTACATAAACAAGACCTATACAAATTGTATTTCTGCATTAGCCTGACAGTGGGTGAGTTTCACACTAAACAGTTAATGCCTAAAATCTATAAAAGTAACTATTTTGATTTCACAAAATAACGGGGAACACACTATACAAAGTGTTCATGGAGTTCATTTCATACTCAGCACCATTTCTGTCTGTGTTAGAAACAGGCATAATTTCATTTTGTTACAACTCACAAGAGGTCCAAATGAAAACTACGACACATTAACACCTATGTCCCATATAGATTTTCCAAATTACCATATTTAACCAACCACAAGATGAGTGTTTCTTACTTGTAAGTCAAGGATAAGATGCCATCTTATAATCAGGAATGAAGGAAAATAAATTTGACTGAACAACTTTTGAAAATCTGACATCTGGAAACTCAAATCCACAGAGTATCATATTGATATAAAAGTATTTAAAAGTAATCACAGTTTGGTTACCATTAGCATTAACGTCATATCTGCAAACTATGTGGGGATCTAGTCCTATATTTTTGGAGCCACGGTTCTGTTTCTGAGGTACATTTGTAATTATACCTTCATCTAACATTATTCCTTCTGTCCAATGTTTTTGTTATACCCATAGAAAGAGTATTATTTAAAAAAAATCATAGAAATACTCTATGTGCATTTGGGTCCTGACACATGCCTTGGTTGTCAAGCAATTTCTGAATGACCAGCAATCCTATAGGGCGACTATAAAATGGTATAATACATGACATTATTATTATTATTATTATTAATACCAAATATGTAAATATAGCTGAAATTATTATATTTAATAATTATATTTTTAAGTGTTTACAACAACTGTGCCTATTAAAAGTTTTAATAAATGCAACATTATTACAGGGAAATGTATGAAAACATGTGAGAATCTGGATATGCAGACTCCTTCATTCTCACAAACTGAGGCTGTGCTACAGTTCATGCAGTTGTCAGTTCCTCAGGGCAGCAGTCCAGGTTATACCTCAAGTCAGATGGGATTTTTGGTGGACAACATGTCATCTAAGTGGGTTTTTCTGATTACTTCAGTTTCCATTACCAATTCTCATTCCACCAACTGCTGCTCATTCACTAATCATCCTATCATTCATGCCATTTTGTCTTGCGACCACCAGCATCATTAAATAAGAAACTCAAAAACTCGCAAACCATAAATACTGACAACTTTAAACTAATGTTTATCACGTACGCTGAACAGACTAAGCTTCATGATACCTGGGGCAAATATGTAGCAAAGAGACACTGAAATACATAACTAGGAGCAAGTTCTACTGGAAAAAGATTCCATGAACATAGATTGGGACAGTGTACCCAAGCAACTTACCTAGACAATTAATGAAACTATACATAAAACTTCCAACTGTGAAAAGGGGGCACATGGTACAGACAGAACACATATGACAAAATATCAATAGAACAACTTCCAGTGTTTAAGTGCCACGCCACGAAGATGCATGGGGGCACTGAGGTAACACTCCATACCATCTACACTTTAGTACTAGACAGAGATAACTAGATCAGCTTCACCATGCTCTGGGCACTTCATCCACGGTGAATAATGATCACTATCATTTTACCTTTTTGACAGGAGACTGGGAGATAGTCTGGATAGGTGGCAAAGAAAAACGTTCTTGTCCTTCCTCAAAACTGCACCTTGGAAATTCAGCCTTTAAATAAGCACTTTTATTGATTGTGCTATTCTGGTTCTCAAAATAAACATACTACTGCATATTTCATATAAGTTTCTTAAAAATTCAACATGTTTGACAACCATGGATTTGAGGAGAGTGTGGAGTCACTGATGCCACCATAAACATACTAAAAATTAAACAGCAGTCAATTTTCTACAAGCTTTTCATTTCTTACTTCTCTCTAGTGAAGAACACACTAACCAACGGTTGTGATTCTGGTACTCTTGAGTCCATCTAAGAATTCTAATCCATCCAAAATTCCAAAACAATTTACTAAAGTACATTTCTGTAAAAATGATAAAATATGGCCAATAATTTCATAAAATTAAAAGAATTATGTTCTTCTTCTTGTTATAAGCCAGATCTCTCTTCAGACTACACTGAATATGAATTACTGCTCCACTTCTGTATCTCACATGCCCTTACTGCAAGAAATACCCTTTACCTTTGGACCGACTAGCTATAAATTTGTTTGCCGATGCCTGTACACCACTGGCTGTTGAACTGTTACTTGTCATCTGATGCTTGCTGGCATATCTCAATAGTAGCATTTAACTGTTTTTGTGACACATACAGATAGAGTTTACAGTGTTGTGAAATGTGTTCAAAAATTATAGTGAACAGAAATCATCAAGAGTTCTTCATGGATAAAATGACACAAAAAGTTCTATAGAAGTATTCTGACGTTACAGTGCCATGTAAAGCAACGATTATCAACACTATAACAAAACTACATCCTATGGGATCAGTGCTGGACAGAAGGACATTTTGAAAAAGACATACTGACTGAAGAAAACCTTGATGACACTGATAGTCTATTGGAAGCAAGCCCCAAGAGACATTACATCTCTCAGCTAATCAGTATGGTATGGCAAAGTACAACTCCGTGTGTAGAAACTGGTCTTACAGAACTAGTAGTAGAATATCTTTTTGGCTGTTCATGTTGACAGCTTGCAATATGGCAAAGAGAGCCTTTTGTCTCCAGATTGTGTAACACAAATTTCATATCGTAGGTTGTTTCAGAAGCAGTATTAACTGGACTTCCTGGCCCAGAACCTGTATTTTATTCTGAAAAAAGCGTTGTTCACTGTTAAGTGGTTATGTAAGGTAAGGTAAAGCTAACCCTGTGTTTAATTAATTGAGTATGTATGGGGAGTAGAGATATGGCGCCACCATTCTTGGCCTCACCATCAGGTGGATATATTTGTTACGGAAACAGCCAATACAACAGTTACTGGCACACATATCTTCTTCAAGCTGTTCATGAAGTGCTATTTCATGACTGAAGTTGGTCTACGGCATGCAATTAATATGCAGAAGATAAGCAGGCCTGTGTTTCCCCATTAAACAATACATACTGAACCTTATATGATCTAATTTTGTCATCTTTGATCAACGGATTGAAGAAGAGAAACTGTAAAGGAATTTGATGCACAACAATGCAACAGAACATACTGCCAACAATTCTATGTATACAACAGATGGAATCTTTGGTGAATAAATGATGATACCTGCCTCCATTATCAAGTGATTTCAATCCTCGTGACTTTCAATTATGAGGAACATTCAAAGAAAGGTGTATGTGAATATGCATTCTTTGGAAGACTTTCAAGATATTGTTAAGCATGAAATATTCTAGTGCTCCCATACAGGAATTTCAATATGTGTCCAGAAACATCTTCTGTGAAATAAAGTAAAGTGGGCCATGAATTACTGGCTACCACAGAGAATCCATGTGATGTGTCATTTCAGTTGTGGGATAAAGTAAAAAATGAAATTTACTTATTAATTTGAACTTCATTAGCTGAATAACAAATTTAATATGATCAATTATCTGCAACCAATTCCAATTTTAAATCACTGAATTCCTGAAAATGCCTATAGTGGCTTCTTTCAGAATTTAATAATTAAAAATTGTACTCTTCTGTAAGGAGACACACGGTGGCTTAGTTGGTTGAGGCAGCCAACAAGCCAGAAGGTTGCGGGTTCAAATCCTCATGAGGTTATTGGCTTTTTTCAGTTGACCTAATCCTTCCGGCCACACTATGGCCCTGGGGTCAACTCAACCTCTAACAGAAATGAGTACCAGAAATTAATTAAATAATTTTCCTGGGGAGTAAAGTGTGGCCGGTGCGTAAGGCTAATGACCTTACCGCCATCTTTGAGCTGACTGTCTAGTTAATGTGGGACCCTCAACCCCTCATAACCCTATGGGCCTTCACGGCCTGTTACAGGGATAACTTTACTTTTACTCTTCTGTAATAAATTAGTCATCAAAATGAAATTATTCAGAAACTCTGTCCTGTGTTGAATATATCGCTATGTGTATCTGTAGTAATAGTACTAGTATGAGAAATCTTAAAGCACACATGTCTACTATTTAGTCTAATTAATTTATTCAGAAAGTACCTTCATGTTATTTCTTAATATCCTAAACGCACTTGGTATATGTCTTCCTAGCAGTCAACAAGCCAACTATAGATAAAAGAAATGCACATCAGCAAAACATACAAACATTAGAAGGATAACATTATCACCAATGTTGAACTGATCAAATGCATGATGTTATGACAAGGTGACAAGATTTCAGACTAAGGAAAGAGAGGAAATGGCAGTTAGTTTCTCAGATAATTCAACAATGGCAACAACCTAGATGAGGTTAGAATTCAATGAGAGATAAGGCGGCTACGAGTGACAAGTCAAGAAAAAGAAAACAATATGGCTTATCCCACATTATTAACTGGGCAAATGTCTATGTACACAGATGGCGGCCACAATGATGTTGGTTCTATTAGCATCCTAGTTTGGATTCAAACTGGGTATCTTCCAAACACAAGCATTGGTATCCATTAAATCACAATCCTCCGCAGAG